CGAACGCCTCAAGCGAACTCTCGCGGTAATAGGCCCAGAAAGTGCCAGACGTGTCTCAGCCTCCAGGACACTTACGGGAAAATAGCACCGAAAGACCTTCAGCGGTCCCGCAAAGGCTTTCCAGCTTGTAGCATGATCCTCGACGCATTGGGGATATATAGCCGTGTTCTCGATGAAGACGATAGGGTGAGGATCTTTGCCCCCATTGCAAGAGGAAACACCCTGCGCGCTTGGTGGCAGGGTAAGCTATCTACAGTTGGGGAAATACCGTTCAGGATCGAGCTATATGTTTTTCCAGGCAAGTGTTCATTGTCCGATTGCCGGCCTTTTGTTTCTCATTCTGACATGTGAATGGAACAGGACAACCATCACCGTGGCCGTCGATTTCAGCAAGCTCAGAAATCTCAGGCGACACGTCAAGCCCTGAAGCATTTGCTCAAGCTCGATACTGGCTCAACAATTGTATTCGGAATCATGGCCGATGCCCGTCAACCCAAGCGGGTCCTTTGCCGACTCGTCTTCTGCACTTCAAGCATGATGACGAGAGATGGCATGTTCGACTAGCTGAAACGCAAGGGTCGTACGGTCGATATGCCTGCTTGAGCCACCGCTGGGGTAAGCAAGGAGCCTCTGAACTCTTGCAAACGGAACGGGCCAATTACAAAGATCACCTAAGAGAGATATCCGTGCAGTCTCTGCCACGAACATTTCAGCACGCCATTGTTTCTTCTCGTCGGCTTGCACTACAGTATCTCTGGATCGACTCCCTATGCATTATACAAGACGACAATGCAGATTGGAGCGAAGAGGCTGCGAGAATGGGCTCGTATTATTGTAACGCCTACATTACCCTTGCAGCTTCATGGTCGCCTGGACCAAAAGGGGATGCTTCTCTTACGCGGAGCCGGAATACATCGGACGCCAGCTATACCGACAGGAAGGTTGTACCGTTCATGCGCGCCGAATCATCGCACACGGTTTTAGATGGCCCTCGCTGGGACGCGGTTGGATATATCAAGAAAGACTTCTGTCTCCACGGGTCTTGCATTTTGGTCCGCTAGAATTGGTCTGGGAATGCTACACGTGCACGACTTGCGAATGTGGTGAAAGCGGCAATCTACACACGGATCTCTCCAACAAGATTGAACATTCGCAGATAATGGGGCGTGCCACTACGAAGGAGACCTTTCGCAACAGATGGAGGAATGTGGTTCAGGAGTATTCCCGCCTTGACCTCACCTTTGCAAAAGATCGGTTCCCAGCCTTAGCCGGTCTGGCAAGGCAGATGCAAACCTACCGAAAGTCGGAGTACTATGCTGGGCTTTGGGCCGACTCTTTTATAGGAGATCTACTTTGGGAGGCTAACTATGGCATATATGAACAAGCGGAGCCCAGAGAATCTGACAACACAGCGCCAACGTGGTCATGGGCATCAGTGAATGCCCAAAACATCAGTTACGGCAACGTTAGAACAACGGCTACCGAATCCGGACTCGGGAGATGCTACGATCGAATTCAGACAACATTTGTCAAATTGCTGAGCATTGACGGGGAGCCGTTGGCTGAGGCAAATTCTGGCGGAAGTGAAGACTGTCAGATTCTCCTCCGGGGACCATGCATAGATGGAACCCTGCAGCATGTTCCCATCCACGACCCTCCCGATCCCAACACATACGACAATCCTCGACATTACGAAATGCGAAAGGAATATTACGAAGAACGCAAGCAGAAGCTTGAGAGTGTACTTCAGGTGAATGGCGTAGAACCGTCCAAGTTCGATTTTGGCAGAGAATTCTCTCCTGATTACGGCCTTTTCCACAAGGGACGATATCACATGGAGTCCGGGGCGTCGGTCTTGATCATGAAGATGGCGTCTGTTGAAGCTGATGATGCTATCTATTCAAACGATCAGATCCTTGGCTTGGTGCTGCGTCAACTGTCGCCGTTCCCAAGAACGTATGAACGGATTGGACTTGCGAAGTGGAGGCCGAGCGACGATTCTATAAAGGCTTTCGAAAAAGCGGAAGACGTGGTTATCAGAGTCATCCGAGAAAAACGGCGACTCGTACCTGGGCGACGGTTTGCTGGTCTACTGCGCATGGATCCATCGCTTCACGGCAGGGCAATGCAAGGGTCAGGGTGCATGAGGGCCGTCAGCATTCTTGGCGAGGCGTAAAGACGTGGATTTCCGCCCCCCGGGTATGCTCAAATCCGTTCAAGCGATAAGGCCTGATCATGGGTCGAACCCAATCACCGGAATTATTGCGTATCGTAAAGCGAACAGAGTGAACTAAGAATGGGTCCGGTCAAAGCTTTCGTACGACAGCATTTCTTGGACGTCTGCTGTGCTCTCGAGATTACTTTGCCCCCCATTCTCGATGCCTCCCGAGACTCCTTTAGACGCGCCTACGGCGGATCATTGGCGACCATTATCTGACAATATCTCTTTACAACGGCTATCATTTGTGCAGAGCAAGACAGCATTCCGCAACTCGTTAGAGGTTCCCCTTGACTTGCCCGCCTCTAAACAAGATGGCGCGAATGCGGCATTGGTTCAGGGTCCCTCTTCGGAAGGACGCAAGCGACGGACGTTAGTATGGGATGCCATCCTTCGATACAACTGATGGTGGGAGCTGGGTGGGATTGGCGTCGCCGTAATTTGCACTTGTCTCATCGTCGCCATACTGTTCGCCATGTCCGACCAGCCTCTCGCCGTTTGGAAATGGGGTATTCAACCCAACACGGTTATTGTCATACTCATCACCATTTCGAAGTCTGCGCAGCTCGTACCGATTGTAGAGTGCCTTGGTCAGCTGAAATGGGTTCACTTTGAGGGGGAACCAAGAGCATTGAGTCATATGGAAACCTTCAATAATGCCGCGAGAGGCCCTTGGGGGTCTTTGAAGCTCCTTTTGCAGCTGGGGCTGAGGGAGCGATTCCCTCCATGCTTAGCTTCACTAGGAGCCACCCTCACCATTTTTCTGCTTGCCTTCGAGCCATTCACACAGCAAATAATGAAGATCTCTGTTAGAAATCGGGCTCTATCAGACTTTGTCGGTATAGCACCCCTAGTAGCGGGGCTACCAAACTCCGCTGTGGACTACTTGAAAAGCGGAGAAGGCAAGTGATCCGGTCATTCACCGCACACAAGCTGACTCCTATCAGAAGCCGTGTCTTTCGGATACATCATGCGAGGCCTTCGAATGGGCCGACCATCTGTCGTCCCTAGCTATGCCCACTGCCCCACACAGAAGTGTGACATACCGAACCATACCACGCTCGCGGCTTGCGCAGTCTGTTCACCAGAAGAATTTGGCCTCGGCATTTTCTCGGGATGCAAGTTCAAGGCATATCTGCAACGATCGAATGAGACAAAGGCCTTCCGAGACACCGTAAACTATACCACTTTGCACGATTTTCAGGAGCAACTCAAGCCTCCACCGGGAGTCGACTACGAAATCCTCGATACATCTATCGAGTGTGAAAAGGGAAGAGATGGGTACGGAAATTTTACCATTGCGGTACGGTATCCAGATCTTCGCTGGAACGAATCTACGATCCCCGAAGCGATAGAAGGCAACCACTCCAGTGGCGACTCTGAAGGATATTTGATACTTGAGCAGGACTTTTATATCGGAAGCAACCCTCCTGAAAACTACGATACTCTCGACAACTTGACGCGCTGGCCACCGTCATGGTGCCACGTCTTAGACAGCGGCCTTTTATAGAATAATCCGATGGACAGCATCATGCGACTCACATGCTTCGATGGCGTTTGGGACCAAAACAACCCCTTGACCTTTTCTCGCCCAATCCGGTTCGCGGAACGATCAACTTCTGCGATCTAAGACTCTGCGCCCAACGCAACGAGAACGTCAGCATCGTGAATGGAGACGAGCTCCTCGTAGGCACCTCGCGGATCCTACCCCATCGAATGGAGGGACACGAGGAGCCGGGTATGCCATGGTACACGGACGGCCAACCTGAACACGTCCTCTAGGTTACAGACGACAGTGTTCCCGGTAACTTCACGGTCGGCCGCATGTCTCGCGAGCTGCTGTTCGCAGCCGCCGACCTGAACAGACTGAGCGACCTTTACCAAGTTGGAGACACGATGTTCCCGAACTGGACCGCGTTCATCGACGCGGTGGCTACGGCGACTACCTCGATGATGTAGAACCTGAAGAATCCGGCCAGGCAGAATGTTTCGGGTGACGCGTATATTAGCGAGACGTACGTTATTGTGCGCTGGGGTTGGTTCTTTATGCCGCTTGCGCTGGTGTGTGGCACCACTGCTTTCCTGGGGCTTACTATGTGGGCGAGTAGGAAGAGGGGGTATGTGTATAAGACTTCGGATTTGGCGCCTTTGATGCGGGGGTTGGAAGGGTGGGGCCGGGATGAGTTGGTGGGTAGGAAGGATGGGATGGGGGATGGGAGGGAGACGGGGTATGATTTGATGAGGATTGCGGAGAGGTACAAGGCAGTTCTTGGAAGGGATGAGAAGCGCGATATTAAGATCTTGAAGGTGGAGTGATGAGAAGGAATGTCATCGCATCTCGTTCGTTTATTTCTGAAGAGCAACGCTGGATACCCGTTCGTTCCATCATCCTCTTACCTCTTCGGTCTTCAGGACGCAGAGTCGGACGTAAATTGCGCACTGTACAATATGTGCTCAGGTAAGCAGGATGGTAGTCGTTATCATCTTGGCCTCATACCTGAAACCTGTAATGCGCATGTGCGATTGCTCTTTCTATACATTTTTTCGCCTGCTATGATGCCCCTAATGTACCCAACGTGGATAGAGGTCAGGCTCAATCAGTGTCGGAGTTTCAAGAACACTGCTCTTGAGAACTTTGAAGGTCGCAAGCGCCGCATGTGGCTTTCCCCGCCTTTGCCGGATCAATCACGGTAACCAAAATGGAATGCGACGCGCATACACGTACAACGGTACCACGGCTATCTTGACAGTGCTTTAGAGGCTGTCACAGGCGCAAAAAGAATGTCGCTTCTGTGGATCGAACACAGTACCTCCAGATTTCGTTCGGTAGAACCAAAGTTTGCCGCGTAAACGGATTGCTTCAGTCTGGCGCTCTCCCAAGTGAGCTAAAGCGACTTGATGGGATTAATCGAATTGATTGGAGAAATTTTAGCTATACCACAATTATATAGTGCATGTGTTGTCCTCTTGCGCGACTGGAGGTGGGGTATTTGCAAATCTCGCGTAGTTGTGTGGAGCGCTGCGCTAAGCGCCCCCGGATCGGCATGGACTTCCTGCCTCGGATCACGAAACCGGAGCTTGAAACTACTTCCGTCAACAAAGCTTATCTCTGCTTCGCGAAGCTTAATGTTTGCTTCGGATGATATGAACATCCTCGGGGTCGGCATCTCTCTTGAGGGCGGAATCGCACGACTTCAAATCACCAACTTTGGCCCGATCGTTATCCTTACTTTAAACGCTATCCTTCGACAGCTGCATTGGAGCTTCCAGATGCACTTTTGTACGAAGAGAAACTTTTGCATCTGAAGGCCACCTGGCATCGGCCACGAGGCGGGCGGCCCGCCCAAATGCTTCGCCGTCTATTTTAGCCACCTGCGTAGCGGACATTTCCTTGATCCAGTCAACTATATGTGCGCACTGGTAATGTGAGCTCAGACACCTTCCTCTCTTGCTTTAGTCCCCAGTAATTCGGCGACTCTACTTCGGATGGGCTGTTCATCAATTCGTCCAAATAATGAAGCTCTTGTGAATGCGTCTATCTTTTCAAGGTATATACGTCTTTCGCTTTTTTCTACTTCTTGTTCTGCACTATTCAAAGAAAAATTCACTTGAAGACGTCAGCGCCCAGTACATTCCGAAGCTCTCATGTTTTCCGCGAAGCTTTGTTCCTCGTATTCGGCGTCTTGTTCGCCCACGCCACGTCTCGCCGTCTCAGCCTCAACCGGTGGTCCACGGAACAGGCGTAATTGTACGCGTCATGAAGAGGCACAACAGTTCAAACGACATTCTGCACGTACATATACCCAATCACCATTCTGCTTTTGTCATGGTGGCTGTAAAGGGGCAGTGGTTTGAGCTATGTTTAAGGGCCAATCAGCCTTGCGATATAACGAGCGGTAAGCCGAGTACGCAGGGCCGTGATTGGTCATTTCGCTTGTTGCTTCGCTCGGTATGCACGGTGGAGTGAGAATGAAATATGTATCTATATAGCCTGGATTCCGCGATCAGATTATATCCTTCGCATGCTGTGCTTTCTTGAGAACAAGCAAATATTGATTTTTTGACAATGGTTTTCAGACTGTCGATCCTGCTCCCAATCTTCTTAGGTAAGTGCGCACCCTGGACTACGCAGTTGTTCGCAAGAAAACGTTTCTAGTAAATTCGGGATGAGGTTCGCTGACGCTGTGTCTTTCAGCTTTTCTGAATCTCGCGTCGGGCGCGGCTGATGCGCTCGCGTCGCGCGAAGAAGCAAGCGCGTTCTCGACCTTCGTCTACGCAACCGACCATGGAAACCTCACCTTCTCGGTGAACGCCGCAAACTCAACTGGAGATATCTTCTTCCACCTGTCAGCTCCAGCCACATACCAGTGGGTCAGTGTTGGGACGGGAAGCGAAATGGACGGAAGCGTCATGTGGGTCGTGTATGAGAGTTCAGAGTCAAACGGTTAGTACCTTACGCTTCTCTTCCACTGCGCCCTACGGACTTCGCAAGAGAAATGCTGACCAGCCGATTAGGTCTAACCCTGTCACCACGATTATCTGATGGTCATGTCGAACCGAGCTTTAGCGACAGCGTCAACTGCGCGCTTGTCGAAGGGGCGGATTACCACAACGGAATTGTTGGGACGTTCTACACCGCCAACATTCATTGCAAGACGATAACCGCGCTGGGTAAGGGTGAGGGAAAGCTCGACCTTACAAAGACGAAGCAAGAGTTCCTCTACGCATGGGGCCCCACCGACGAGTCCCTCTCAACCACCTCACAGACCGCGGGTCTTCGACGCCATGAGGCATACGGCACTTTCTGGATGGATATGACCAAAGCGACATCTGCGGAAACGGAAGATGCTGCTGTCCCGAGCGGAACCGCCCTTTCGACTACCACCAACGCGGGCGCGGATGGCAGTGCGGAAAGTGACAGCGATAAAGTGGGACCTGCACACGCCGTGCTCATGTGTGGTGCCTTCGCACTGATCTTCCCCCTCGGCGCCGTACTGCTTCGACTGCTGGAAAGCGTCAAAGCTCATTACATCGTGCAGACTATCGGTGCGCTAGCTTCCTTGATCGGCGTCGGTGTCGGTATCTACCTGAGCAAGATGTACAACCATGTAAGCTACTCCCCGCAACATGTTTCATTGCCGGAGAGTGCAGTCGCTAACCTCATCTTTTCCTTTCTCCAGTCCAAAGACATCTCATCCGGCCACCAAATCTGGGGCCTTGTCGTCTTCGTCCTCGCTCTGCTTCAATGGTCCATCGGACTCTACCACCACCTCCAATACCGCAAATACCAACGCCCAACCGCATACGGGAAGGTGCATCTTTACGCCGGCCCAGCCATCGTTCTCGGCGGCATCATCAACGGCTTTACTGGGTTCAACTTCAGCGGCGAGCCGCACAACAATGTTTTCTATGGACCTATCGTTGGCGTTATCATTGTTGTTGTGGTGCTGTTACTTGGGTGGAAGAGATGGTCGAAAAGGAGACAGAAGAAGAATCTCGGACACGGGAGGTTTGCGACGGTGCACGATGGGGGTGGAGAGTATGGGTTGAATGCTATGGGGACGAGTGATAGGCGTTAAGGGAAAGAGTTGGGATGGACCCAGGCGTTTGAAGTGCGCGGTTAGAAGAGGGAAGTGGATACTATTTCCTTTGGCATTCTGGATGCCTCAGTCTCGCTAATACTCTTGTCTGTTGATAGAGCATCCGGAATGGTAGAATGGCGTTTGGGATTTACACCTGCATACGAGGCTACGTTGTCGTAGCACGCGCTATCATTATCTCTACACACTCTTTTGGCTCTTCGTCTTATTTTCGATTGTTGGAAAGCTGAGGAGGCAACGAGCTTCGGACTTCGGCTGATCTCTTGGAAACGACTAGGCTGAATAGGGGTGGCACAATGCCAGCCTGTACGACTTCAACCTTGCTCATGTGCTGCAGGTTGGAGCGGCACAGCCCCGCATCGAGCGTTATCCATCCTCGCACCTTTGGACGGGACCTACCACAGCACCCGACATAACTCAGCCAGTGGTGCAAACGCTTGTTCGACAGCCATTTACTTCTCTTCGAAAAATGCCTTGCCGACACCCAGACATACAAACATTTGACGGAGTTCGTTGTTGCCTAGCCTGTGGCGAGAGCACGTTCTCTGCCTCACTTATCCATAACAGTGAAGACATAGAGCGCGAGTTCAAATACATTGATCTGAACAAAACATCGGGGCAACATATACGACTGCTTATTCTTTATCCGGGAGAGGGCTCGAATCCGATTGTGTGCGAATTCAGCATGTCAATCTAGAAGACATGCCCGAATACGAAGCGGAATCGTACATCTGGGCGACACAATGGCGACGCAAGACAGTCCCGACGCATTAATTCTGTCGACGGAAGCTTTGTCAGCGTTACGATCAACTGTGAGGCGGTCCTTTGTCAACTGCGCCATACAGCGATCCATAGGCGACGATAGATTGACTCGATCTGTACCAATCAATCATGCATCAATGAACGAAATCACCAAATTGGCCTTATGGATCTGATCTATTCGCGAGCCACGGGTGTCCTGGTTTCTATTCATGATCCCGGTGAATCCTACTCGGAGCTCCTCCACTGGCTTCGAATCGGTTTTCTGAACCATACCATAACCCTCGTCGAGCCTTACGTACGGCAGTTGACAACACTACTTTCGACACGATACTTCCGGCGGGTTTGGGTGATTCAAGAAGTGGCTCTAGCGAGAGTGGCTATTCTGAATGTCAACGCTGACTGTGTCGCTATTAGAAAGGGTGCGGGGAATGATTTCGGAAATCTACACACAGCACGCCATACCGGTTCCAAGGGTCTTATGCCTAAGCCCTGGAGGGAAATGCCAGTCTGATCTCCTCGGCTAGCTTGCGGAAACGATTCAATGCGAATCGACCGATCCAAGGGACAAGTTGCACGCTATTATGAGTCTTCTAGACCCCGAGACGCGATCCAGTATGCCCGTAGATTACTCACTGGAGGTTCTTCTTGTCTATGCCAACGCTCTTGCCGCAATCATCAAGAGTCGCCAAAATCTCGGCATTTTACCCTACCTCAGGCTTGCTGAAGCTGGAACGTCAAAATAGCACAGTTGAAATCATTGATACGATTCAAAGAGTATTTGCCAAGTACAGGGTTGCTAGAGGGCATCCCGGTGTCGGCAAGATTTGAGAAAAGTGACATCGCGCCCGTCCTTCAATTTCTGGAAAACAGCAAAGGACCGTGACGATCAACTATACTCGCTCGAGAAACGAGAAATCTGCATGCAGAAAAACCCAGCAAGTCATTGTTACATACGCCAACGGCAGCTGTTGAAACGGCGACGCACCCCGGGAGATCTGCGCGCTTGAGCATCCTTCCACGGATTGCGGGCTCGAGCACACTATCTCGACATGATAAGCCATCATTGGTGCCCCAGGTTTAACGCCGCGTACGACAGGGTAGCTAGGATGACAGCCGCTGGAAATCTAGAGTTTCACAAAGGTCTTGCCGTGCATAGCTCAGCATCCGGTTTCGCGAATGATATTCTAGGGAACAACTCGCACGTCTTCGGCGGGCGTGACTGCTGGATTCTCTCATACTTCCGGCAAGCCGATGTTGAGTTCGATCAACTAAAGGATTCAAAAAATTGAATTTCCCGTTTGCTTCTGTCCGCGGTGAAAATTAGCCTTTTGGGGTCAATACGGCAGACTTGTTCGAGTTCCTTAAAAACGCGTAGACACGCACTATGTTGGTTCTAGACGAGCACATTTTTGGCACCAACTATAGTGTCAGATATGCTGCACGCGGATTTCGGGAAGGCGACGAAGTGTGGGCGATCGATGGCGCTAGGGCGCCTTTGATCTTGCGCAAGACAGGCTGGCTACGGTATCGGGT